TGAATTTGGACTTTATATATTCAACTAGAACTCAATTATGTTATTATTATCATGCGTGCATATATTTACTGGCGGCGAGGCAAACCATTATTCACGAAGGCTTTGGCCATTTCGTCCCTTACTCCGACTAATAAGTGTTTACATATACTCTCCGATGCTAGTTTTGGGTAGAATAATGGTAGTTACATAATAAATTAAATGCATCATTGGGCCTCTTGAGTCTTGACTAATTCCATGCTCTTTGGAATAGCATTTTTTCACAACAACATATATATTTATATTATCACAGCAGTCGTTTTACAAAGGGGTCCTCCGTAGAAGACCAAATTACAACAAAGTCCTGTAGCTGGATGGGAAAGCAACACCATGGTTGGCGATGCGGAAGATAAGTCCGCCGGCGAAGGGCCGCAGAGGCATCAAAGACGCAAGCACCTGGATGGACTAACCGCGCAAAGCGCCGGTTAAAGGAGGATCGATTGAGCAGTCGGAGGAGACGCACACCGGCGACCAAAGGATGTTGTTGATGTCGTCGTTGGAGGTTGAAGAAGAAGCTCAAACCTAGATCCCAGAAGGAGGCGGATCGGAGCTGACAAAACAACACCAGAAGAGGAGCTGCCTTGCTGAAGAAGGGAGCACCAGAACTGGAGGCTGCTGTAAGGAGATGGATGCAGGCGATGAAGGTTGTGGATCGGGAGGGAGCGGATCTCGTCGATGGCGGGTGGAAGTGGAAGCAGAGATGTTGGAGAGGAGATCCGCGAAGAAGACGAACAAATTTATTTTATTTCTACTGACCTTTTAGTCGACGATGTCGGCGGCGAGGAAGACCATGGCTATGGCGACGACAACGGCAAGACAGGACTTTCTCCGCAGGGAGACACCCATCCGGGCACTCTAACTACTCTCTACTAAGTACTAGGTGGGGAGGGGGCCCACTCCCAGCCCTCTCCGACGAGCTCGCCGGAGGCGGGAGGGAGGGGCCCGGCTGGGTCTGGCTGGGAGAGCGCGAGAAGAGGAAGCCACGCTAGGTTGGCTGCGGCACCTCCCGTATGAAATGAGTGGCGAGAGGAGAGTTCCTCTTTGGAATAGCAATGACTAGGCTCTGGCTCCACCAGCAGGTAGACGTTCAGGTTAACACCTTCGGGCGTGTTCTTGACAGGATTACCTTGACTTTCGAATCCAGAATTGACTTGAGGGCTGATAGTTTTCTTTGAGTGCTAAAATCTAGCCACCAAAGGAATATATATAGCTTCCTTGGCTATGCTAGTAAACTTCCAAGAAAAGTATATTCCTTGAGGGGCTTATAAGATCCATCAAGGAAATTAAGCATTTTCTTGAGTGTGAATGTAAACCTTAACCATTTCCTTCACCGCTATTCTTAACCCCCGAGAAAAAAATATATAATTTCCATGGCTATTATTCTAAGCTAGCAAGGAAATTTACAGTTTTCTCGAGGATCATGCAAGGAACTACAATTTCTGTAGCCACGCATAAATTCATTTCAATTACATAATAGTAAATTAGTTCAATTTTTTTGAGAATTCCTTAACAAGAATCTATATGTAGTATATTACATTTAAAAATATTTTTGGTATATAAGATAAAAAGTTTTGCATGTTACTTTAGAAGGGTTTCTTACTTAGTTATTTGAAATTTTTGTGAAGAAAAAACAAATTTTGCATGACAAATGCCCATGTAAGTTCACATTTGTTAGTATGATTATAAAAGTTACTTTGTCTACAAATTAGAACCATATACGAGTAAGAAAAGGCTTTGAGATGTACAAACATCAAAGTTTGGTTTAAGTTATATCTGAAACTTTGCGAGAGATGTATCATTTTGGTTTGAGGGTCACCCAAATTTGGGGGCCTGAGTATAGGCCCTGCTGGAGCTGTATTTTTTACTCTAGTCCTTAAATTGTAGTTTATGGTCTTGAATAGAGTGGAGATGCTCTAGATATTCACAGCGGAGCGCCGAGGTTGCGCACGTATGGGTATACCTAGCCGACTAGCCGGAACAAACGAGCGGGATGAGGCGGGCCGGCGACGAACGAGGCGGCGCAGTGGCCAGCTAGGGACCTTGCGATTGGAAGTTGGAACCCACACAGTGCTCGGCATCAAGGTTGAGTGGGCCGGCCTAGTGGGTATTAACATAACGTTACATTTTGGGCTGTGGCCTTTGTGGGTCATCCTGTTGATCCAGTAAATAAAACCAAACATTTCTCAAAAAAAAAAGGTAAATAAAACCAAACTTCCCCTCATAAAAAAAAGTAAATAAAACCAAACAAGTGGATGCCCACAGCCGAACACCGAGGTTGCGCACGTAGTTATGGGCATTCCGGCAAGATGGAGGCTGCACGTGGAACGGCCGGTTTTGTGGCTCCCGACGGCTCCGGCCTGCTCGTCGCATTATTTTTGCCGCGTCCGTCGACATTGACGGGTGCGCGGCGATGAGCCATGCGTTGCAGCATGCGGGCGACGGGGTGGTGCATCATATTCTTGCCGATTCCACAAAGGGGCCGGGAAAAATAAACCCGAGCGCGCGCGGCGCGGCCTGAAAAAGATGTGAATCTGATGCGGCACATAGCCGGAGCCACCGGTTCCATTCCATTGCCCGGCGGCGTACGTCACGCGCCGCCCCCGATCGACGCCTCCAGTCTCCACCACCGAACCGGCCGGCACGCACGCATGCAGCCATGCCACCATCCCATGGCATGACCAGCCATCTGGCTCAGCTGGCCAGATTAGCGATCAGTTAATTAACATAGCTTCCGAGCAAGTTGCGGGTGGTAGGGCCAGCGCGCGGCACCTAGCTGCATCAGTCGTCAGACGGGAAGAAACAAAAGAAGACGCAGCTAGATAAGCCGAAAGGCGTCCGGGGTCGGCGGCAAGTTGCATGCGTGTAGGACCTGCGTGCGTGGGCGTGGCGCCAGGTACGTGGGAGTCAGTCCGTCTGAGGCGCCAACGACCGAGGAGAGGAGGCCAGGTGAGCTGGGCGCTAGGCACGAGCGGGTGCGGATCTACGAGTGTCGGAAGGGGCAAGCTAGGCTAGCGGACGAGGAAGAGAGGCCAGGGAAGGAAACGCCGGGGGGCCGGTTTGAGGTGGCGATGGCAACGCCCACGCGGCCACGCGGCGACCTCAGCCCGCCCCTTGACGGCTGCCAAGGGGCAGGGACGTCGTAGTGGTATTCATATCTGCCTTCTATAGATTAAATTAAATTAAATTAAATTTCGCGACATTCCCACCCCACCCCACCAGGGCCCCGGCCCCCCGCCGCGCGTCGCTTTCCGGCCTTTTTCTTTGCTGCTGCTAGTCGGCTCAATCCATTTGTTCATATCCACAAACCCTGTTCTGCGGGGAATTTTGGGAATTTGGCTACGGTAGTACTATCGTTTTTATTTGACAATTAGTATTTAATTATGAATTAATTAGGTTTAAAATATTCGTCTCGTAATTTTCAACCAAATTGTGCAATTAATTTTTTTTCCGTCTATATTTAATGTTCCATATACGTATCATAAGATTCTACAGTGATTTTTGAAAAACTCTTTTTGGAAAACTCTTTGAAAACAAAACACGCCCGTAGATTAGCCCTGCCAAAACGTCCGCACTGACACGCTCGGATCCTCTGCAGTTGCGTTCCGTATGACCGCGAGAGCGGGCCGGGTTGCAATTGCATTGCGTTAAGAATCGGAGATGATGCCACTACACATAAAATAATAGGTGCACATGCATGCCTCCTTTATTTCGCTGAAAAAACAAATTGAAACACTATTCCAACTGATTTATCGTGAAAAAAAAACACTATTCTGACTAAAAAATAAGATGAACAATACGAATGATAAGAAAAACGAACATAGCCTATATATATATATATATATATATATATATATATATATATATATATATATATATATATATAAAATATATATATATATATATATATATATATATATATATATATATTGCTCTAGCAGTACGTTGTAAACGTCTAAATCAAGGACTTGCATCCTTGCGTCTACCATTAATTGGCAAGACAAATCACCAGGCGAGTTGTCATTTGCCACGGTCTAGGAATGCGAAGCCGACGCCAACCTCGGTCTTCAGGGTTGGACCGCTCTAGCTAGAATAGATAGAAACGGTGATGTTCTGACAAAGTAGCCCACATTTACGTACATGGGCATCGATGGTACACTGGACATTATATATGGTGTGCTTTCAAGTATTCCCAGCACCGGTGTGTGAGTGGCGCAGACATATTTTCCTATATATGGTGTGCTTTCAAGTATTCCCAGCACCGGTGTGTGAGTGGCGTAGATATATTTTCTTCGAGCATCAGGGCGCGTTTAGTTCCCAATTTTTTTGTTGTTTGACTACTGTTGGGTTACTGTAACACTTTCGTTTGTATTTGATAATTAGTGTCTAATTATGGACTAATTAGGTTCGAAAGTTTCGTCTCGTGATTTCTCATCCAACTGTGCAATTAGTTTTTTTTCTTCTACATTTAGTACTCTATGCATATGCCGTAAGATTCGATGTGACACTTTAGGGTGAAAAATTTTAGGAAGTAAACATGCCCTCAGTTACACCGTGACATAGGAGGGAATGTATAGTACCTGCATAGAGGATCCTGCGGCAACACGGAGGCGCGCCAACCGCCAATGTCATTGGAGCGGAACCCACCCCAATTTCACCTGCCCTCATTCAACCCTCTCTGCCCCCTGCCACTCCGGAGGGACCGCGCCCCTCTCTTCCTCCTTCCTCTAGCTTTCTCTTCCTCCTATATATATAAGCAACCAACCCCACCTCGCCACCGGCTAGCTGTACTATTGGCTGCTAGCTGCTCCTGTACGCCTCCATTGCCGACAGCTTGCGTGTTCTCGAGCACACGGCCGGCCGGTGGGCGTTGGCTTCCATATATATCGAGACAGGAGCAAGAGAATTGAAAGGCGATCGAAGGAGAAGAAGATCGATCGAGCGGCCCGGGATATATAGCTAGGTAGATGAGCTGCAACGGCTGCCGCGTCCTGCGCAAGGGGTGCAGCGACGCCTGCGTGCTCCGCCCCAGCATCGAGTGGATCCACGGCGCGCAGCCGCAGGCCAACGCCACCGTCTTCGTCGCCAAGTTCTTCGGCCGCGCGGGCCTCGTCGCCTCCCTCGCCGCCGTCCCTCTGCAGCTCCGCCCAGGTAATTATCAATTATTATTACCACTAACTTTGTTTACTTCACTATTACTACTCTGGTGCTCCCTCATCGCATTCAATTCCATCTACGTCTTCTAAGTTGCAAGATTATGAGTAGTCGATCATATGATTTGCTTACTCTGACGCTACTCACATGTATAGATAGATGACGAAGTTCGTTCAATCTTCTTTTTTCTGTAAAGTAGTGTTTAGTTGAGGATTATTACTCCTACTAGTGTCCTTGGACGAACTTTGGTTTGGTTTCATCTATCCAGACCAACAATGTTATCTTGAAGAGAACAGACGTGACCTATCCACCAAGGTATCTCCCAGCAGTAGCAGTAGTAGTAGGTACCAATGTTTTGTTTATGGCGTTTACGCGGCCTTCCGACGCCCCATGGGACAAAAGTAAAAAAGCCACCCTATCACAATGCTGCAGAATACTTTTTTGCCAGGCCCAAACCCAATGCTACCTCACCAAACCGACTTCAAGATATGCTAGTTAATTATTGGGATCCAATTTTATTATTAGTAATGATTTCAACTTTTTTTTGTTAGGGATAAATATTTTTGTAGTAGTAGTTGTTAGAACTGCAGAATTAACTAGGCATAGATCTAGTACAACTTTACTAGAATATGATGAACAAACCCTAGAACATGAACTACGAGATCTAGGTAGAGAAGAAGGAGGAGAGGGCAGTGGTCTCTGACCGTCGGAGGGCTTGGAGGAGGAGCTGCTGGAGCCGTCCATGACGATGGCGGTGGTGCGGTCCAAGTTGATGAAGGCGGTGGCGATGTAGCAGTGAAGTCCGGTGGCGGCGAGGCAATGGAGCTTTCTCATCACTGGTTGCGCATCCTCTAGATCGGATTAGGGTTATGTCGGTGGGGCGACTATGGCTGCTCACGGTGAACCTCGTGAAAAAAGCCACCGCCCCCACCTCTCTTTTTATAGCGAAGTGTGACGGGGGCTCACCAATCATGTAGGGTTGGACGCCCCCGATCAGAGCGTGGATCCAAGGACTCAATTGGCCTGAAGATCATCTAACATTCTCACCATTGATCTCATCTAATGTCTTAATCTCAACTTACTTATTTTATCTTGTTCTCATTCCATCACAGATTAGTGCATAGAGCATGCCTCATCATCATGATCAGTTGCCATTAGATTAAACAACTACAATGCACCACTGTTTTGAAACAGATTCTCAACTAGGCCTTTATTGTCTAAGAATCATAGGCTTTCCCTTAAAACCATACCGGCTAAGTGTTCTCTGAACACGCTGGTTGGTAAACCTTTTGTAAGTGGATCGGCGAGCATCTTTTCTGTTCTTATATGCTCAAGACTAATTATATGATCCCGGACTTTGTCTTTCACAACATAATATTTTATGTCAATATGTTTGACAACACCACTTGACTTATTGTTGTGAGCATAACATACTGCTGGATTATTATCGCAGTATAACTTGAGTGGTTTGTGTTTGTCATCTACCACTTTTAACCCGGCATGAATTTCTTCAGCCAATTCACCTGCCCTGTGGTCTCATAACATACTACAAACTCGGCATACATTGTGGACGATGTAGTGATGGTTTGCTTTGAGCTTTTTCACGATATAGCTTCTCCAGCGAGAGTGAATATGTATCCTGACGTGGATTTTTTGTCATCTTTAGTATAGTCAAAATCTGTATACCCTCTATGTGCAGGGAATAAGATCTTCTGTACGTTAGCATGAGACCCTTCATACCTTGTAGGTAACGTAAAACTTTCTTTACTAATTTCTAGTGTTCTATTCCTGGATTACTCTGATATCTGCCAAACAACCCGGTAACAAATGCTAAGTCAGGGCGAGTACACACTTGAGCATACTGTAAACTTTCAACAGCTGAACTATATGGAACCGCTTTCATTTGATCGATCTCATATTGGTTTCTGAGACATTGAAATTCTCCATATCTGTCGCCCTTGACTATGGGAGTAGGTGAAGACTTACAATTTTGCATACTGTATTTCTTTAGAACTTTTTCTAAGTATGTCTTTTGTGATAATCCTAAAACCGTCTTTGCTCTATCTCGGTGAATCTTTATTCCTAGGACGAACGAAACTTCACCGAGATCCTTCATATCAAACTTTGAGGACAATAACTTCTTTGTTTCTAGTAGTAGATTAACATCACTGCTGGCGAGCAAGATGCCATCAGCATACAAGACAAGAAAAATGTATTTCTTATTCTTGAACTTTGCATAAACGCAATTGTCCTCTATATTTTCTTAAAATCCAAACTTTCGTACTTATTATACTATCAAACTTCAAATACCACTGTCTTGAAACTTGTTTTAATCCGTCAATGGATTTCTTCAGGCGGCATCCCATACATTCTTTTCCTTCCACAACAAAACCTTTCGGTTGTGCTATGTAAATATTTTTCTCCAGATCTCCATTTAGGAACGTCGTCTTTATATCCATCTGATGTAATTCTAAGTCGTAATGTGCTACAAGTGTCATTATGATTCTAAAAGAATCCTTATATGAGACTGGAGAAAATGTCTCATTGTAATCTATGCTTTTCTTTACGTAAAACCTTTCGCCACAAGTCGTGCTTTAATCCTTTCTATATTTCCTTTGGAGTCATGTTTAGTTTTGTAGACCCATTTACAGTCTACTATCTTGGCTCCTTTAGGAATTGTTTCTAAGTTTCAAACACCATTGGTTTTCATTGATTTTATTTCATCTTCCATGGCTTCAAGCCACTTGGATGAGTGAGCGTTTCTCATGGCTTCTTCAAATAAGGTGAGATCACTCTTCATTTGAAATTTCTCACATTCATAAAGTTTGTAGTCATCAGGAATGATTAATCTCTTGACTCTTTGAGACCTTCTAGGGTTCTCGTTAGATGACGCTTGTTCTATATGAGGCTATTGTTGCTCTCCCTCATGTGTGACAACAGGTTCTAGGGGATCCTGAAGGATAGGTTCCTCATGTTCATTCATTGTTGCCACAGGAAGAACTAACAACATGTGCTGTTACTATAGTATCCTGCATTGTTGGTACAACAACAACCGGTAGCATGAAGAATGGCTCTTGAACCATAGGAGTGGGCACGTATACCCGATTCTATTCAAAACTAATTTCATGCACTACCATGCTCCTCCTGATCATATCTTCCTCCAAGAAGACAACATGTCTTCTTTCTACAAACTTCGTTTGTCTGTTAGGACAATAGAAGCGATAACATTTTTACTTTTCTGGATAGCCAATGAATGGTAACTGACTGTCTTGGAGTCCAGCTTTCCTATGTTTGGGTTAAATACTTTTGCCTCAGCTGGACAACCCACACATGTAAATAGTTTAGTGAGGGTTCCTTTTCTGTCTACAACTCATACGGTGTTTTGGGTATCGACTTACTTGGCACTCGATTAAGTATATGAATGGCGGTTTTTAACGCCTCCATCCATAAACTTATCGGTAGGGTAGAGTAACTTATCATGTTTCTCACCATATCTATTAAGGTACAGTTACGTCTTTCAGCTACTTCATTTTGCTGAGGCTCGTCCGGTGTAGAATACTGGGCTACTATGCTATTTTCCTATAAGTACCTTGCAAAGGGTCTAGAAACTTGGCCATATGGAGTGTGTCAACCGTAGTACTCTCCCCCATGGTCGGACCTTACTACCTTAATCTTTAAGTTTTGCTGATTTTCTACTTCAGTCTTAAATATTTTAAATTTATCCAATACTTTCGATCTTTTCTTAATTAAATAAATATAACCAAAATAAGAATAGTCATCTGTGAATTTTATAAATGAATCATAACCATCCACACTCTTCACAGAAAAGGACCAACAGATGTCTGTGTGAACTATTTTTAAAATTCATACGCTTCACTTGATATCTTTCTTTATTTTCTTAACGTACTTTCCTTTTATGGAATCTATACATTGTTCTAAATCTAAAAATTATAAAGGCGGAAGAATTGATTTCTTAATCAATTGCTCTATTCTCCCTCTCGAAATATGGCCTAAACGACAGTGCCATAATTTCGAAGATGCATCATGTACTCTCTTTCGCTTATTTGTTGCATTCATAGACGATGAAGCATTCTCATTCTCAGTACTTACATCATTTATATTCTCAGAGAGGGATAATAAATAAAACTTGTCTTGTCGGAAGACAAGACCAACATATTTATTATTATAAATAATCTGACATTTGCTATTACCAAAATGGCAATCATATCCATCGTCATCTAGATATGAAACACTTATTAAGTTTCTTCGTAAAGAGGGTACAAATAGAACATCTGAAAGCTTAAATTGAAAACCATCAACTAATTCTAGAAAAAGATCTCCAATGGTTTCAATTTCAGCTTCAACTTTATTTGCTACTTGAATTCTTCTTTCTCCTCTTTGCAGGGTCCTCCTTGTATAGAAATCCCTATAATGAATTTGTAACATGAACAGTTACACCTGAATCAATCCACCAAATAGATTTTGCATAACTTAAATACAAGGATTAATCTATGAATGTAATGAAATCCTCACCTCTCTTTAGAAGGTTCTTTAGGAAGTCTGGACAGTCCCTCTGGCAGTGTACATGCTTCTTGCACCATTTACACTGATCCTTCTCAACTTGAGCATTGTTGTTCTTCGGATGGTGGTCATTCTGAGGGGTTTTCCCTTGAGGTTTGGCATTCTTATTGAAATTCTTCTTCTTGTTGTCCTTCACAAGGTTAGCAGTCACCCTGTAAAGATTTTAGCCTCTCCTCTTCTTGAACACACATTACAATGAGCTTCTCTACATCCCATTTATCGGGCTGCATGTTGTAATTAACAACAAAGGTTTCATATTTCTTTTGGTAAGGAAGGAAAAACCAAATGAATCAGAAACTCATCTTTGAGCCCCAAATTCATTGGCTTGAGCTTGGATGCCATGTTGCTTATCTTCAACATGTGTTCTCTTATACCTCCACCCAGTATTTCTCATTGAATAATTTCTTTATCAAGATGCTTGCATAAGCCTTTGAAGAGCTAGTAAACTCACTCTCCACTTTTTTAAGATACTCGGTGGTGGTATCATAATCTGAGATTGATCCCCTTATAACATCTGAAATTATGGACTTAGCCACCATCAAACACTTGCAGTTCGAGATGTTCCATTTCTTCCGATCAAGATCGTATTTCATTCTAACTTCTGCATGATCTCGCTTTCGAGCATTGAAATCAGCATCAGTCTCATTTTCTGCCCTCACCGGGTCCTCTGGCTCAGTAGCACATGGAGAGGTAAGTGCTAAGTCATTCTCGGACAGCGCAAGTGCGAACTCATACTTCTCTCGCCATACTCTCTAATTGCCCCTTCAAGAGGTGGAGTATGCGAGATAAAAGCCATTGGGTTGAGTCCTGAAAAACAGTGTCAAAGAAAGTGAGAAAACATAACAAAATAATTGCATGCCTTAATTTAACGTTGGTCAAAATTAAAACATACAACTTTTTCTACATTAATTCTACATCACCGTTGGACAGAAAATAGAATTAATACATAAACTCATAAATCAAATATTTATAATATTGCTATCAACAACTTTGGTTAGAAAATAGCAAAATCATAAATTTACTGAAAATTATGACAACTCCTCAAAATTAAATTCTCTCGTTGGTTCGAATTTAATTAGAAGATAATAAACTTTAATTTCGCAGCGGAAACATGAATAAATAATAATTATCTACTTTTCATAAGCATTTTCATATTAATATATACTTTTTGGAAAAAAAACACGTTGGTGCAATTTTACTAGAAATTTTAAACATTCGAAATTCATCAAAATTCATTCAAATTTGCTTCTGAAAATAAATAAACTTCAAACGTCATTTGTTGTTCATTTTGGCCCGACTGCAAAGCAGCAGAGAAGAACGCCCAAAGAAGAACAAGAAGGCTGCCCGGCTTAGCGATAGGCGGCTCATACAAGACGCTGGCCACGGCGCCTCCCCCGTGCCCATGCCACAACCTGGGCCTGGGCCGGAAAGTGCCTCCCCGCCTGGGTCGATTTTGGCCCGACGCGCTCTCAGTCGTCCATCCAGATCCGACGACCAGGCATCGGTTTTGGGAGATCAAAACCCCGGCCCGGCCGCGCCCCCAAACCCTAACTCATTTCTTCCCTCTCCCTCTCCCAGTGCGAAGCAGAGCAACGATGGCGGCCACCCGTAGCATAGCCGGAAGAAAGAAGGTCGACGACGCGCCGCTGCAAGGCGTTCACCCGAGGGTGAGCGGCGCCATCGAAGCGTCTTTGTCTGCGATGCCTTGAGTCCGATCTCGGTAGGGTACACGGCAGCGGCGGCGGCCGCGCCTCCCGGCTGCTCCCTTCCAAGGCTGGGCGTGAAGTGGCGGCGCGGTCTTCTTCCCGCGCAAACGGCGGTGTCGACGGAGACAAGGTAGGTTCCTCCCTTTTTTCCGTCCTTTCCCCTTTAGGGTTAGGGTTAGGATTTTAAAACGAAATCGATTCAAATCATCTCCTTCTTAATGTTTCTACTGTACTACCCCATACTAGATCTACAGCTAGATCTGGCTCTGATACCATTGTTAAAACTATAAGATCAACTAGGCATAGATCTAGTGGGTACAAGTTGACTAGAACATGAACTACGAGATCTAGATGGAGAAGAAGGGAGAGGGGTAGTGGTCTCTGACCATCGGAGGACTTGACGGAGGAGCTGCTGGAGCCGTCCATGGCGATGGCGGTGGTGCGGTCCGAGTCGATGAAGGCGGTGGCGATGTAGCATAGAAGTCCGTGACACAGTCCGGTGGCGGCAAGGTAATGGAGCTTTCCATCACTGGCTGCGCACCATCTAGATCGGATTAGGGTTATGTCGGTGGGGCGACTATGGCGCTCACGGTGAACCCGTGAAAAAAGTGGCCGGCCCCTACCTCTCTTTTTATAGCGCAGTGTGACGAGGGGCCACCAACCATATAGAGTTGGGCGCCCTCGATTATGGCGTAGATCCAAGGGCCCAATTGATCATTGGGCCAATTGATTGAGATCATCTAACAGTAGTATCTTAAATAGTTTCACTTTGAACTGTGTGACTCCTGACTGCTAGCGTAACTAAGAGCCAGTTTGCTGAGGTAGATTAACAATGGAAATTTGGATAATGCAGCTCTCTTCCGTTCGCTGCTGTACGAAGCCTGCGGGCGGACCATCAACCCGGTGAGCGGCGCCATCGGCCTGATGTGGACGGGCAACTGGGACCTCTGCCAGGTCGCCGCCGCCGCCGTCCTCCGCGGCGACTCCCTCCGCGCGCTCTCCACCATCCCCGCCGCCTTCACGGACCGCGACATGGACGGGCTCTACGGCGACGTCGGCCTCGCCACCGCCTCCTCTTTGTCCTCGCCCGAGAACTCGTCCACCGCGCCGTCCAAGAAGCGCAAGAACGTTAACGGCGGCCTTGCCTTCAACGCCGCCGCCGGCGTCCCCGCGGGCTGCCAGCAGCAGCAGCAGCCGGCGGGGCTGCTGCAGTCGTGCGAGCTCGACCTCTGCCTGACGCCGGCGTTGTCGCCGCTGGGCCGCGGCCTGGTGCGGGGCTGCAGCGGCGGCGGCGGCGGCGGCGCGTCCGACGAGTACTCCGCCATGACGACGTGCGAGGACCAGCAGCCCGTCACCGGCGGTGATCATGCGGAGGCCAGGACCCCAGCGCTGCTGAACCTCTTCAACTGACTGACTGACGATCGTCGTCGTGTTGTCCGTACGTAATTAACTTCTTCGGTTCTTCCTTTCCTTCTTGTAAGATGCATGTAACTGTGCAGATAGAGTTCAGAATGATGGGGGCTGGGTGTACGTGTGGTAATTAGTTGCAGCGATCAATCGGTGTTGGTTAATCGACGTTTTTTTTTGACATGTGAAGAACTGAAAATGCTTCTGAAGTAGTAAACAAGAAACCCGCCAATTAGCACTGTTAATTGGGTGAATTAACGAGTTCCTTAATTTGGTATATATATAGGGAAGAAAACTGTGTGCAATTTTCTATTTTTTATTAGATGCACTTTTCAGGAAAAGAAATAATAAAGAAATTCACAATAATATAAGATGATAATTCCGTTGCCTCGGCACCGTTGCTACGTGATCCCGGCTCCCCGGGTATTCAGGAGATGATTTGGACCCAACATTTGTCTATAGTCTAGTCAAGACACGTACGGTCAAAAACATCCATTCCTATGAGCTATATTGCGCCATGCCTGGCTTCTGGCTATCGTTAAACACCAAGTCAAAGTCAACCAATCACCTCATAGCGATTGTTATTTGTCTCATATTGCTGGGCTGATTGTTTTCTTCCTCTTGTCTACCGATGGTGATGGAAAATGGCCATGATTCTCTATACATGTTATTTGTCTGATATTGTTGGGCTATTTGTTTTTTTCTCTTTGGTGACGGAAAAACATACATGATACATGGTGGCCATGAATCGCTATAAATCGTATTTGTCTCACATTGTTGGGCTATTTGCTTTCTCCCTCGTATACCGATGGTGATCGAAAAACATACTGACATGGTGATCATGATTCGCTATATATGGTATTTGTCTGATATTGCTGGGCTATTTGTTTTTTCTCTAGTCCACCGATGGTGATTGAAAAACATACATGGTGGGATTTTTTTTGAGAAAAATGGCACAATGGTCCCTAAATTTGGGTAGCGGTGTCATTTGGGTCTCAAAATATTATTTTTTGGGTCCCTAAATTTGTTCCGGCCTTCAGCACTGTTCCAAACGAGTTTCGACTTGCTCCATACGTTGACGTGGCATGTTGATTAAGCGCTGACGGGGATCCGACACGTTTGGTCCAGTACCTAAACTTGCACAACAATGTCATCTAAATCCCAAACTTACAACATTGCATATCTTAGTCCTTAGACTTGCTAACCGGGCCACACAAGGTACCTAAACTTGCACAAAAGTGCCATCTAGGTCCCTAACTTACATATATAATTGCAGCTCTAGATCCCTAAACATGCTAATTAGGTCGAAGCGAGATCTAAAATACCATTATTTGTGATAAGCCTTTGCGTGGCCACTGACTGTGCGCCTAGCATGTGGAGCCCACCACATGTTGTCCCTCTCTCTCATCTCCTTCCCCACTCCCTCTCGTGCCACTGCCACCATTTTCTCTTACACCACCGTACCATAGCCCGCTGGCCTGCACATGCTCACTCCTATCCTCCAACACACATGCCAAGCTTAGCCATGGCCAAGGCCAAATGGTGGTCGGTCGTGGATAAGCCGTGCTCTTTGTTTTTGGCTCAAGGGTAGGGAGTGTTATACTTGTCCGAACAAAAGACAGGAGGAAGGGGAATGAGATGAGAGAGAGGGACCATACATGTGGGCCCACATAGGAGGGAATGGGGAAGGAGATGAGAGAGGGACAACATATGGGCCCCACATGCGAGGTGTATAGTCAACAACCAGGTGGGCGACTTATCGCAAACAATGGTAATTTGGACCTCGTGTGGCCTGATTAACAAGTTTAGGGACATAGATCTATATTTTTTGGAAGTTAGGGGCCTAGACGTCACTGTCGTGCGAGTTTAGGTATCTCATGTGTCTCTTTTACTAAGTTTGAGGACCTAGATATGCAATGTTGTAAGTATGTGACCCAGAGATGATATCACCATGCAACTAAGTTTAGGTGCTGGATCAAACATATCAGATCCACGTCAGCGCTGAGTCAACATGCCACATCAGCGTATGGAGTGGGTCAAAATCCATTTAGACCTGTGCTGAAGCCCAAGACAAGTTTAGGGACTCAGGAATAAAAAATATAAGTTTTGAATCTAGATGACACCGCTCGATCTCAAGTTTAAAGACCGTCAGCGTATTTTACTCATTTTTTATATGGTCTCTTGTCTCTTTTACTCATTTCTTGGTATAAATCATGTCTCATATAAAAAAAGACCGTACATGGATAAAATGGCATGGTGTCTTTTGTCCTGAAAAATACCTGTCAGGAAAAGCAAAAAAAAAAGCACTATACTAATTTCTCGAGTACCGCAGAAATAGAATTGAGGTGCACGTGTTTGTATGTGATGAGAGAGCGAGCTGAGACCAGCTCTAAGCGACATCGAAGAGACGGGGCAGAATTGAATTCAGAACGGTGCCGGATGCCACGCCATCACCACCTACAACCTGTTTGATTCCGTCAACCAACTTTCACTCCCAAACATCGACAGCGCCGGATCGGAGGGTCTAGAGAGTAGAGACACAGTTGCATGTTTTTCAACCAATAATAAAGGAGGTGTTTGATCCAGGGACTAAATATTAGAAGGTGTCACATTAGGTATCACATCGGGTGTTCAAATACTAATAATAAAATTAACTATGGAAACCGTGACTAATTCGCAAGACGAATCAATTAAGCCTAAGCAACCCATAATCAACACATGCTTACTGTAGCACCACATTGTCAAATCATGGGCTAATTAGGTTTAATATATTCATCTCGTAAATTAGATTCAATCTGTGTAATTAGTTTTATAATTAATCTATGTTTAATACTCTAAATTAGTGTTCAAACATCCAACATGACATGGATTAAAATTTAGGAATGGAACCAACCGTGCTTTCTACTCTGCATGCAGTGCTACATCCACCGCCACCAGCATCAACGTTGCAGCAAACTAGGAGCATCAGTCACCGCCGGCAACCCCGGGCCATCGGGGGTCATAATGAGTGCGACACCTGTGCGGGCTCTGGAGGAGAAGCTGATGCAGTCACCGTGATGCTAAATGCTACACGTCCAGATTGGGTAGAAGGGAATTGCTGGTGCCCAGATGTCCGATGGGATAGAATTTTGTCGATGTTACCAAACGGTCCAGCAGACGACCCATCAGAAACGCGCCGCACTCTCACCGTATCGCTGCAGTCCTTCCTCGTCTGTCTCGTCCCGCCCTGCACGTGTACCTCGCCTCGCCCGCCTCGCACTGCGCACACCGCTACTTCTCTCGGACCCCCTCCTCTCTTTCCGTGCGGGCGGGACCCGGGACCTAGGATGAGGACGAGCACGCCCCATCTACAGGACCCCCCGCACACCACGCGCCCCATCCGTCGGCCCCCGGCTCATCGCGCCCCTTCCCCCGGCGCCTGGGCGTGCCTCCATAACTCTATGAACATACCTCTGAACACACAAAACACTTGCAACATGAAATATTTGAATGCAACATACGTCTGAAGCAGATGAAACATGTAGAACATACACTTGCAACATATGTGTGACACATATGCAACATCCAGATAAAACACTTGCAACTTGCAACATGAAAACACTTATTGCACATAAGACTGAAACATTTCGAACATAGTCTTGCAACTTATGTGTGAAACATATGCAATATCCAGATAAAAAGCTTGCAACACACGTCTAAAACAGATGAAACATTTTGAACAACGCTTGCAACATGTCTCTGAAACACTTGCAACATGCCTCTTGAACACTTTGCAACATCCGTATGAAACACTTGACAACATACCTCTGGAACATCTAAAACACTTGAAACATACGCTTGCAACATATCAGGCGCGACACTCGAGTGGGAGGCGGCCACCATATCAAGCACGTTGAGAAACTCGATAACCGCAACAATGGCAGATCGGGGCTAGGAGGTGATGGAGCGAAGAGCACCACGGGCTTGTCTGCCGTGAGCTTCTTCTGCTGGGGGTACCGGGGCGCACGGAGCCTCAATGCGAGCGCGAAGTACGGCACAACCACAACGCCCTCACGGTCTCTAGCCGCAGGAGGAGGTGACGAGGAGGACACTAGCGCCGGCTCCGGTGACTAGGGCAGGAGCGGGCGGCAGGCACGACTCCAGTGGCGCAGCCTAGCAGCGCGGAGGCGGGCGAGGGCCTCGAGGCGGAGGAAGCGGAGGCGTGGTCGCCACTGGAGAAGGCGACCGGGGAGGGGAGAGTGGTAGGGAACGCCGCGACGGTCGTACTAGTTGGGAATATCGTCGTCTTTTTTATTTTATTTTGAGAAACGGTTAAAGCATAAAGATAAAGGGAAATAGGTCTATTGGGTTGGTAGTGCACATGTCTAGGAAGCATGACGTCCGCACCGTCGGACGCCCGCACTTTAGTATTTCCGTGGGTAGAAACAATTGGAAAATTGTCACTGAAAACGTTTACCCCTTTGATTATACTGTATATGACTGGCAACGAATGAATGACACGTGGGTCTGAATCGTGCCAGCGCGTGTTCGAAGTTAAATTTCCAAAAATCTTCAGGGGAAACTGTGGGACCAGGTTGCTGCTTCTTCGTTGACGTTGTTGCTTCGCTCTCTTCGTTGAACCCTGCTAATCTAGCTCCATGCCAGTCTTGTCGTCGTTGGAAGTTTAGTTCATGGTTGTAATTTAAAGCATGAACTAAGTGAGGCCTGTTCACATGGCCCGAAGTCCTACTGGGCTGTGCTTTGGGTTGTCTGGCCCATGATGGTTTATGAGCCTCCATATAAGGTTCCCAGCCTACGATATCTATGTGTGCATCCGCGACATACGCGGCACAACTTGAATTTCTTCCATTTCCTCTATGCGTAAACTTGGATCTCTTCTAGGGCTGTTTGTTTACTGATGCTTCTCCCTACGTTCCTAATAGGATCCTTGATTTCTGGACAAAATTAAGGCACAGTCTCTCACTAAGCATGGCCCATAGGTGAAGAAAGAGGTGGGGCACGTT